CTTAATCTACTTCATTTATGTACAAACAAATGAGCGAATCCATTAGCTTAAACTACTTTATATGTTTACACAGTAATGAGTCTCAACTCCTTGTCTTCAATCCAGAGACTGCTGGTGGCTGGCACTTGGATTGACTCAACCTCTGAATCCATGGCCCCATGAACCCCAGTCCGATGACGAAGATCCATGGCCCCAGTGTCACGAACCCAGTCCAATGACGAAAATCCAATGAGTGGGACAAAGTTCCTGATATTAATACAGCTCTAAATCAAATGCTACCTGCTTGAGGAGGTTGAGGGGTGACCTTATGGAGGTTTATAAAATCTTGAAGGGCATAGATAAGGTGAATACCAAAGATCTTTTCCCTGGGTTAGGCAAGTTCAAAACTCGAGGGCATAATTTAAGATGACAGGAGAAAGATTTAAAAGGGTCCTGAGGGGCAACTTTCTCACACAGAGGGTGGTTCATTTGTGGAATGAACTGCCAGAGGTAGTGGTAGATGTAGACACAGTTGCAACATTTAAAAGACTTTTGGGCGGGTACATGAATAGAAAGGTTTAAAGGGATAAGAGCCAAACACAGGCAAACGGGACAGGCTTAGTTTGGGAAACTTGTTCACATGAAGGGACTGAAGCATCTGTTTCCGTGTTGTATGACTCTATAACTCTAGTTTGCTAGTTCACTACAGCTAGCTCAGCTTTCATGCACACATAGTTGTCCTTATTTAGTTTTGAAATAATAGCCTTAGATCCCATTTTCTCTCTTTCAAATAGGATGTAAAATTCAATCATATTTGGTCACTGCTAGCTTGGGTTGCCTTTACTCTGAGATCATTAATTAATTGTTACATTATACAGTACCAAGTCTAATATAACCTGGTCTCCAGTAAGTTCCAAAGAGGCTACTCTAAGAAACTACCTCAAAAGCATTCTATAAACTCCTCATTCAGGCTTCTACAGCACACTTGATATTTCCATTTTATGTTTAGATTAAAATTACCCTTGGTTATTACCATCCCTTTATCACAAGCACTGAATATTTCTTTCTGGATACGCTGTGTCACATTGTGGTTAGTGTTATGAGGCCTATAGACCACTTGCATAAATGATGTTTCTCCCCCTAATATTCTTCATTTCTATCCAAATTGATTCTGCATTTTGTTCTCCTGAATGAAGGCCATCTGTAACAATTGCACAAATGTCATCTTTGATTGACTTCCACATTTCCCACGCTTGCTATTCTCCTTGAATAAACTGGGGAGGCCTTCAAAATGGGATAACAAGAGTCCAGAGTCTGTATGTTCCTGTTAGTGCGAAGGGCAAGGCTGGTATGTGTAGGCAATTCTGGATGACTAGGGAATTTGAGGCTCTGGTCAAGAAAAAGGAGGCGTATCTAGATATAGACAGCTGGCATCAAATGAATCCCTAGTGGAGTATAAAGGCAGTAGGAGCATACTCAAGAGGGAAATCAGTAGGGCAAAAAGGGACATGAGATAGCTTTAGCAAATAGAGTTGAGGAGAATCCAAAGAGATTCTACAAATGCATTAAGGGCAAAAGAGTAACCAGGGAGACAATAGGGCCCCTTGAAGATCAACAAGACCATCTATGTGTGGAACCACAGGAGACAGGTGAGATACTAAAAGAGTATTTTGCATCAGGTTTTACTTTGGAGAAGGTTATCAAAGCTAGAGAACTTGGAGAAATAAATAGTGATATCTTGAAAAGTGTCCATATTACAGAAGAGGAGGTGCTGGACATTGTAAAGCTCATAAAGGTGGATAAATTCCTGGGACATGATCATGTGTATCCCAGAACCTTGTGGGAAGCATTGGAAGTGATTGCTGCGCCTCTTCCTAAGCTATTTGTATCACTGATAGCCATGGGTGAGGTGCTGAAAGACTGGAGGTTGGCTCACATGGCGCCACTATTTAAGAAAGGTGGCAAAGAAATGCCAGGCAACTATAGATCAGTGAGCCTGACATCAGTGGTGGGTAAGTTGTTGGAAGAGATTGTGAGGGACAGGATTTACATGTATTTGGAAAGGCAAGGACTGATTAGGGATAGTCAAAATGGCTTTGTGCGTGAGATATCATGTCTCATTAACTAGGTTGAGTTTTTTTTGAAGAAGTGACAAAGAAGATTGATGAAGGCAGAGCAGTGGATGTTGTCTATATGGAGTTCAGAAAGGTGTTCAACAGGTTCTGCATGGTTGACTGGTTAGTATGTTTAGATTACATAGAATCTGGGGATGCTAGGCATTCGGATATAAAATTGGCTTGAAGGTAGGAGACAGAGAGAGGAGGACTGGAGGTTTGTGACCAATGGTGTGATATAAGGATCAGTGCTGGGTCCACTAATTTTTGTTGTTTTTATAAATGATTTAGATGTAAATGTAGGAGGTATGGTTAGTAGGTTTGCAGATGACGCCAATATTGGTGGTGTAGTGGGTAGTGAAGAAGGTTATCTCAGAGTACGGGACCTTGACCAGATGGGGCGAGGAGTGGCAGATGGAGTTTAATTTAGATAAATGTGAGGTGTTGCATTTTGGTAAGGCAAATCAGAGCAGGACTTATACAGTTAATGGTAGGGTCCTGGACAGTGTTGCCGAACAAAGAGACCTTAGGTGCAGTTTCATAGTTCTTTGAAAGTGGAGTCACAGGTAGCCAGGGTAGTGAAGAAGGCGTTTGGTACACTTGGCCTTATTGGTCAGTGTATTGAGTTGGGATGTCATGTTGCGGCTGTACATGACATTTGTTAGGAATACTACGTTCAATTCTTGCCTCCCTGCTATAGGAAAGATGTTGTTAAACTTGAAAGGGTTCAGAAAAGATTTACAAAGCTGTTGTCAGGGTTAAAAGGTTTGAGCTACAGGGAGAAGCTAAATAGACTGGGGCTATTTTCCCTACAGCACCGGAGGCTGAGCGGAGATCATTTGGAGGTTTATAAAATCATGAGGAGCCTGGATCAGCTGAATAGCTAAGGTCTTTTTCCTCGGGTGGGGTAGTCCAAAACTAGAGGGCATGGGTTTAAGGTGAGAGAGGAAAGATTTAAAAGGGACTTAGGCATTTACAGATGCAAGTTCCAACATAAATGCAGGCAAATAAATTTCTAACAGTACTGTATAAGAAAAGGATTGAACATGATTGACCATTGATGTTACATACCACAGGTTTATATTGCACCTGATCCAAAAACTTCATATGACTGTTTACATGTTAATTAAAACATGCAACAATGCTTGCATTTTTAATTTGGTTGAACATCCTAACATGCTTCACAAGAATGCTAAGGATTTCCTAAAGTGTAAAAGCTTGGTCAAAGATTATGTTTTAAGGGGAAAAGAATTGCAGAGATTACAGCTTTTTAATAATTCATTCAAAGGATAAGGGTGTGGCAGGCTAGGCTAGCATTTATTGCCCATCTCAGAGGGCAGTTAAGAGTCAACCACATTGCTGTCATGATCATCAATCAACTCTTAATTCCAGAATTTCTTTTTATTGAATTCAAATTACATCCTCTGCTAGGAGCAGGACTTGAACCTAGGTCCCCTGAACATTACTGGAGTCTCTGCATTGACAGCCCCCTAATAATACCACTAGGCCATTGCCTACCCTATCCTAGGCACCTGAAAGCACAGCTGTCAATGGTGGAGCAAAATCTATGGGGTTGTACAGGAAGCCAGGATTGGAGGAGGGCAGAGATCGTTGTAGTTAAGGATATTACCGGAATATGGTGGGTTGAGGCAATGGACAGATTTAGCACAAGAATAAGCATTTGAAATTGAGACATTGCTAACGTAAATCAAGGCAATATAATTGTGAGCATAGGTACTTGGTGTGAATTAGGATGTGGGCAGCCAAGTTATGGGTTTACTCTAACTTTTTTTTATCTTCTTAAACATCTCACATAATTCAGCCTTTTTAAAAAAAAAGTTCTTTCACAGGATGTGGGTGTAGTTGTCTGGATCAGCATTTATTACTCATTTGGGAAGGTGGTATTGAGCCACCTTCTCGCAGTCCATTTGGTGTGATGACAGCTAGAATGCAGTTGGGAAACAAGTTCCAAGTTTTTGACCCTATCACTCTTAAGGAATAAGGAAATTGTTCCAAGTCAGGATGGTGTATGCAACTTGCAGAGGCCTAAGCTATTGAGGACACAGGGTTATATCTCATCATGGTAACTAGTGAAAGTTAAGTATAATTTAAAAACACTGAACATAACACTAGACCCAGTAATGATACCATGGCAATGTTCATTGATTGCCATAAAAACCCATCTGGCTTATTAAAGTACTTTAGGGAAGGAAATCTGCCATCCTTACCAGGTCTGCCCCACATGTGACTCCAGACTCATACCAATGTGGTTGACTCTTAACTGCTCCTTGGAACGGTCTGACCACTGATTTGTATCAAAACGCAAAGGCCATGGTCTGAACATAGGAATCGGGAGCTGTAGCTGCCCCTCAGGCCAACTCCAACTCTGCCATTGAAGAAGATCATGGCTCACTGCATCCTCAACTTCACGTTTCCTGTCTGCCACCGATAACTTCACACGCCGCTCAAGCGTCTAAGGGAATTGCAAACCTGCCCGTGCAACCTACTCCCAGAATTTAACCCTCCCCTCGGCCACAGATGGGTGAAGAGTTTCAGGAACATGACATTTCAAGTAATAGTAGTGGTGGTTTGTGGTGGTGAGGGGGGGGGGGGGGGGGGGAGTGTTGCACAGATCCTAAGTACAGATTCTTTTAAGGAAGGGAGCTGCCATGCTTTTGTTACTGTGTCCTGCCTGCCTGTCCTCTCTCAGCGACAACGTGCTTTTGAAGATTGTTTGCAGTTGCTTCAAAGCGAAGCAGGTTTCTCGCTGGTGAAGGATACGCGTGTTGCTGTTTGTCTCCTCCCCGGATGCTGTGATTGACAGATTCTGCAGAGCCCTGCTATGTGTGTGTGTGTGTGCTATATATTGTGTGGGCGCTTTGCAGAGAGCAGTTGTTCTGAACAGGACCCATCACAGAATAGGACTGCAGTAATTTAACTCCCTGTCTCCTGTGGTGTAACCAGAAATTAGGACAAATTAAAACCGTTCCCCCTCTGCCGTTATTCTTTTTACATGTAAAAGACCTGTCCTACTGATTGTTTGTCATTGAGCGGAAGGATATGTTTTAAATCGTTACAAGAGCAGTGACGAGAGAGAGAGAGAGTGGGAGAGAGACAAGACTAAGCTCCGGGCTGTGTCAGTTTTCGGGTGAAATTAACATGGCGAGCGACTCTCCAGCGCGAAGCTTGGATGAAATCGACCTCTCGGCTCTGAGGGTGAGTAACCCAGATCAGAGCTCTCCTTGCGCCAGATCTTGCTTTCTTCCGGGAGATACATTGTTCCCTCTGTAGTACTGTCACAATCTCCGACACACCAATGTAGCAGTTGTGTGTCACAAAGATGTGCGATGTTACAATCTATATTTCCTGTCCTGTCTCAAAATTGTAGTTAATTGGCAAAAGGGATAAATAACACGTCTAAACCGAGTTGCTTGAGTTTATGTGTAGAAGTGTTAAGCTCATCATTCCAGTAAGCTCACTGTACGCCAATGTCACAATGAATGGGGTGAAATGGAACCTGTTTAGATTTTTTTTCATTCATCGACTACACCTCCGCTCCCCCCCCCCCCCCACCGCTCCGTCCAACACCACCCTCCCTCATTCCCGCAGTGAATTGTTTTAATTTGAAGGCATTTGTTACCTTGTGTGTTTGTGTGCGCTCCTAAACCGAGTCGATGTTTCATAACATGCGTTTGTAGAGTCTCCGGTTGAAGAGCTTCCTTCAATTTTTCTGCAGAAAATGAATTGTTGCTTATTTTCAAGCATTCCGTGAAATTGAGATTGCTGGTTAGAGACCAGGTACGGGGCAGCCTCAGCTTTTATAACATAGAGAGGAAAATAAAATACAACTGGATAAAGGAAGAGAATCTTGGGCCAGCGGTATCGTGCTGTTTCATTCAGCCTTCACAAAATGTATTTGCTATTAGGGAGGTGGTGGTCAAAGAGTCCTGAAGGGAAAGCTTGCGGATGAGAGATTCCATCTCTGTGTGGATCTCATGCACAGGACCCTCTGTTGGTTTAATGGCTACGGCCATAGGAGCTGTTATCAGCGACAGGCGCTCACTAACATAATGCTTCGAAGGGAAGGAATCGTTTGGATACCAAACAAAAAATCACTACTGTTGTGAACCTAAAATAGCCTGTCGAAACTTGGGACATTTCAGTATTGGACATCTGGTCAGAAGAGAGAGAGAGATTCGTGAACATTTTAAACGACCTGTAATGATCTCTGTTATCAAACCATGTTGATTATTGTGCATGGTATCCCTGCATAACGGTGTCTGGTTGAAAAAGACAGGAGAAAAGACCGGGAAGAGATGGAGAGGGAGACTGCAAGGAAGGGAATGGGGTAGTTGGTACTGGAGAAGGGGTGGGGGGGGGGTTTAGAATGAGGATGAGGAAGAGTATGGGAAGGGGAACCTGAGTGGGGAGGGAGCTGGTCGTTGTGGAATTTGACAATGGTGATATTCCCATTGTTTAGTGTGCATGATTATCAAAAACATCTCTTGTGGAGTCAGTTCGGAATGTAGTGTAAGGCTTTGTTCCGAGGCACTGAAGGAGCTTTCTGGCTAATCATCTCTTGATTTGCTATAGCATGTCTGAACAATTCTGCTCTTGGCATTTTCAAAGAGACTGTCGTGTCAGTGCGCATGTTGGTGGGGGAGAGGAGGGGGGGGGGCAGAAGTCGAGATTTCAGGTTCAGTGCCCTTTCTCCCAGTTTCTGCTTGTGTGGTTTCTTGGGGCAAGTGAGAAAGCCAGTGCAAAAGAGGCACAGGTTAACTCAACAAAGCGCTACTTCCCTCCATTCACTGCCAGTTTGGCAAACTGACAGCAGGAATTTGTGAAGTCTTTCAGCAGAACTGTCACTCTCTGCCAAAAGGAGAGATCTTTGCTTTGTTTTCATCTCTCTCCACCGTCTCGCCTCTCTGAAAGCTCTGTACAACCCTCCGAGATCACTGTTGCCTTCCAATACTTGCCTCCTGCGGATTTTAATCACACCATTAAGGACTCTGTGTTTTCAGCCTGAACCCTTAAGTTCTGGAATCCACTCCTGAAAGGAGGACTGGGAGACGAGAGGTGTAAGCCAATCATTAAAGCCAATTTCTTCGACCAAGCTTTAGGCCATATGTCCCAACATCTCCTTATGTAGCTGAGTGCCACATTCTGTTTCATGACAAGCACCGTGGCGCATTTAAATATATGAAAGGTGCTATGTAAACGCACAAAGTTGTTGCCATCCCCTACCCGAGGGTTAGTATTTTGAGTTGGGAAATGGGCGACAGCACGGGCTGTGTAAATGTGACTGGAACCACTTGCTCATATGGGGACGGAGGGAGCAATTGTCAACACCGTCAGGTCGGGCTGAACGGCCTCTTTCTGTGTTGTTGATTGTGTTGTAGCGGTGTTTGGTGAAAACAGATTGCCCACACGTGAGTAAAGTAGGTTGGATAGTATTGGGATAAGGCTGAGTGTCGAGCAGGCCCACTCTGATTTCCAAAGCTTGCCAGTGTGTTTGAAAGAAGCCAGTCATGTCACGGAATGCTATTCGAGATCTGATATTGGCCCCTCTGCCTTGGAATGTGAAAACTACATGGCCACTGTCTTACATGGTTGGAGCTGCTGAGTTTGGTTACAGCTTGTCTCGAGCGTATGACATGGAGCGGCAATCTCGATCTGTTTTGTCTGGGAGCGAGTTCCTGCCTGCCCTTCCTTCCAAATTAGTAAGGTGTTTTGCGTGGAAAGAACAACAAACAAATTGACAAGAACTCCCCCTAAAACAATCAACGGTCTGTGGTTCTGAAACCAGCAGGGACCCTGATTTGTTTTTCATCAGGTTATGTTTTCAGGTATATGGGACTGAGACGAGGAGAAATTCATTCACTCACAGGACTATGATTTTAGAATTCTGTACCCCTTAATTTTTAATATATTCTTTGGATGACAAGGCTAGCACTAGGTAACAGCCTATTGGTATTATTGCTGGACTGTAAATCCAGAGACCCAGGTAACGTTCTGGAGACTTCATTTGAATGCCAACACGACAGCTGGTGGAATTTTAATTCAAAAAAAAGTTGGAATTAAGAGTCTAATGATGACCATGAATCCATTGTCGATAGTTAGGAAATAGCCATCTGGTTCACTAACATCCTTTAGGAGAAGAAACTGCCATCCTTACCTGGTCTGGCCTACATGTGACTCCAGACCCACAGCAATGTGGGTGACTCTTAACTGCCCTCTGGGTAATTAGGGATGGTTAATAAAAACCAAAAATCTGTGAATACTGTAAATCAGAAAGAAAACAGAACTTGCTGGAAAAGCTCAGCAGGTCTGGCAGCATCTGTGAAGAGAAATCAGAGTTAACGTTTCAGGTCCGGTGACCCTTCCTCAGATAAATGCTGGCCTAGTCAGCGATGCCCTCATCACATGAATGAATAAAAACAAAGCTTGAACTGAGTGGCCTGCTCAGTCATTTCAGAGGGCAGCTAAGAGTCAGCCACTTTGCTGTGTGTCTGGAGTGACATATGGGCAGAGATGGCAGATTTCCTTTCCTAAAATGAACCATGTAGGGTTTTTTTTAATAACAATTGATGGAAGTTTCATAGTCACTATGACTGAGACTAGCTTTCAATTCGAGGTTTATTCGTTTATTAGCCAGCTGCCATTGTGAGATTTGAACCTGCGCCCCCTGAATATGAGCTTGGGCTTCTGGATTACTAGTTCAATGCCATATGACTCCACAACACACACACATGTATCAACGTTGTAACATTGATGATTATTTAATGCTAGGCCTTAAATTTTTAAGATTTTTAAAAATGCTTTTTAAAATATATCTTTTAAAATTTTAAAGATATTTTGGCCTCTCAGGGAATGGACAGGGAAATGACGTTCAAGCCCATGTTTAGTCATTATCATATTGAATCATGGAGCGGACCCAACAGGCTGAATGGTCTACTCCTGATTGCTCTCTCTCTCTCTCTCTGTCTCTGGTGTTCTTATGGTCTATGCTTTATTAGCTGCACCTATGTGCTGCAAATGGCCTGTTATACTCTTGTAGGACGGTGTGAAGTACTCACAGGCTGATTAAAATGCTGACAGATTGCAATGTGAAAGCTCCTTCTGTGGCTCTGACTGTCTTCCTCGCAGCTGATGGTGGGGGTAGTCAGCTTGATACAATGGGAATGACTTCGTGAGCTCTCATAACCCATACAAGGAGGGATTGGATGTAGTCACTCCCAACCACAGGGCAGAGAGTTGCAGAATCATTACAGTACAGGAGGCCATTTGATCCATTGTATCTGCACTGACTCTCCAAATCAGCATCTCACCCAGTGCCATTCTCCTGCCTTCTCACTATAAGATTGTTCCTTTCCAACTAACCACCAAATTCTCTTTGAAAAACTTGATTGAACTATCTCCAGCACACTCGAGGGCAGTGCATTCTAGACCCTAATGAGTGAAAAGGTTTCTCCTCATATCAGTTTTTTTCTTCTTTTGCTAGTTACTTTAAATCTGTGTCTTCTCATTCTTGATCCCATAAGAATGGGAACATCTTCTCCCAATTTACTTTGGCCAGGCCTTTCATAATTTTGGAAACTTCGTTCAGTTTGCTCTTCTTTAAGGAGAACTGACCCAGTTTCTCCAATCTATCTTCATAACAGAAGTTCCTGGTCCCTGATTCCACACTCATAATCATCTTCTGCACTTTCTCCAATGTCTTCCCATCATTCCTAAAGAACTATATACAATACTCTAGCTGAAGCCAAACTACTATCTAATACAAGTTTACCATAACCTCCTTGCTGTTGTGTCTAAGCTTCTATTAATGAAGTCTTGGATACCATGTGCTTTATTAATTACTCTCTCAACATGTTCTGCAAACTACAGAGTAGGACCCCTTAAAGATCAAATAGGTCATCTTTGTGTTGAACCTCAGGAGATGGGAGAGATAATAAATTAATATTTCACGTCAGTAGTTACTCTGGAGAAAGAAATTGAGGCTGGGGATCTCAAGGAAGTAAATATTGATGTTTTGAAAACAGTTTCCATTACAGAAAAGGAAGTACTGGAGGTCTTAAAAAATATAAAAGTGGATAAATCTCCAGGACTTGATCTAGTGTATCCTAGGACTTCGCGGGAGGAAATTGCAGGGCCTCTTGTGGAAATATTTGCATCATCTAGAACTACTGGTGTGGTGTCGGATGAATGGAGAATTG